CTGGTAGTTGCTCCGGCGGTACTCGTGCGACTCAAAGTCGTCTGGAAGCCTGGCGTGCGTGAGAAAGTGCTGGATGACCTGCTCGAGGCGGCGATAATCCGACTAGCGGTGAGCGCGTTGCGTACAAGCACGTACCGATCCATGCGGCGTGTCCCAGTCTGTGACCCCCCACTTTTCGTTGCGGGGCATCTGGTCCTGCGGGGGGCAGAAGTCGTCCTGGTGCACGACGTCGACCGAGGCGATCGGCGATGCGGCGGCCGCCGCGGCGTCTGTGGGTGGCTGCAAGAGGGCGAGCAGATTTTGGACGACGGTCGACTTGCCCGAGCTAGTCGGGCCGCTGTGGTGTCAGCTGCGTGCGGCGTAGACGCACCCAATGCCGATGACCAGCACGCCGTCGTGTGCGGCCATGGTCGCTGGGGCCTCCGCCTGCATTCCCGATCGCCCGATATAGCACTACGGCGAGGTCCGCTACTACGTCTTTTGCTTCTTGCTCTTGGGTTTCTCGTCGTCGTCGTCCTCGGCAAAGTCGCCGTCCTCGTCGCTGGACTCTTCCGAGGGGCTGCCGCCGTCCTCGGACGACTCGTCCTCGAAGTCCTCGTCTTCTGATGGGTGAGTCAGCGTGGTACGTACCCTCTTCGTCGTCGTCGTCGTCGTCCGGCAGGCCCTTGACGTCCTCGTCCTCGTCGAGCAGTTCGTCGACCGCCTTGCCGAGCCCTGCGGCGTCGTCTGCGAGCTCGTTCTTTATCCGGATCTTGCGCTCGGCGAAGAAGTTGTTGAGGCTGTCGAACTCCTCGCGGTTGATCGACTGGAAGGTATGGTCGCCGCCGTGCCGTGTCTCGACGCGGAGGTCGAACGTCTTGGCGGAGGCAATTGCGCCGCCGACGCGGCTGAATACGAGCTGGTGGATGTCACTGTACGGCACGAGGATCGTCTGCTTCGAGACCCAGATGAGACTCTTGTTGAGCGGGTAGAGAGTGCCGTCGTTCGCCTTGACGTTGCAGCGCACGCTCTCCTGGCCGATGCTGCTGGTGAAACCGGTCGGGACATTGACCTTTTGCTGCGAAAACACGCGGAAGAGGTTGGTGACGATGCGGAACGTCGGCTCCTCGTAGCGCTTCTTGAGCTTGCCGTCGTACTTGGTCTGGATGGTCTCCTCGTCGAGGTTCAGCTCGGCGTCCATCTCCTCCTCACGCGGGAACTGCAGCACGAGGAAAGGGTAGCGCGTCTGGCCCTGGCGGATCGGCGGCTCGAGCGCAATGACAAAGAGTACGTGGATGTCGTCCGGCTTGGGGAGCAGAAAGAGCTGCGTGATGGACGAGTAGAGGATCTTGTAGTCGTACGTCTTGCCGCGCAGGCGCAAAAACTCGGGGAAGAGGTCGATGTCGTAGCGGCCACGCGGCGTGAGGACAAGCACCTCCTTGAGAACGAGGATGCCGTCGCCGGCGACTTGTCCGATGTCCGCCTTGGCCTTGATGGCATTGTGGAAGGCGGCGGCGGCGCTCTCCTCCTCTTCGTCGTCCTCCTCCTCGTCGGCCTCTTCACCCTCGTCCTTCTTGATCGCGACCTTTTCGTCCTCGTCGCGCTCGATCTGACCCGGGATGTAGAGGCGCATCTCGACGAGCTGGTCGGGCCGGTTCTTCTTGGGCCCGTTGAACGGCAGCCCGCCGAGGTTCGACGAGGCGCCCGTGTTCTGCTCGGGCTGCTGTTCCTTGGGGTTGAGGAACTCCATCGAGACCTCGGTGCGCCCTGCGATGTTGCTGTTGGCGATGTTGGCGAGGGGCAGCGCAAACGCAAGCTTGTTGCGCACGACAAATTTCATGTCGCGCTCGTCCACCTCGGCAGAGCCCCAGTTCCAGCCACGCAGGGACAGCTCGACGTCTTCGAGCGGTTTGTCGTAGCAGTCGCGCAGCACCTCGGCGAGGCGGTCGTGATCGTCGCGCTGGAAGTTTTCAAACGTCGCTGCGTGCGACGCGTCGTCGCTGTCGTCGCCCTTGAGCTCGATCTTGAGCTGAAAGTTGCGCGCGACACTGCGTCAGTAGGCGCGCGACGTACCGGCACCATGCGAAGCTCACGATCTGGTCCGCGGGGATGGTCACGGTGGCGCCCTCGTCGTGTGGCTTCCACCCCAGCCCCGCACTCGAGAACCGGATCTTGCCAAGCGCCTTGCCCGTGCCGTGGTACACGTTCTCGAACTGCGTCGTCATGCTGGCCCAGCGCAGGCGGCGCGCGCGACGCGTCGTGCTTATGTCATCAATGGGACCCCTATGGGAGGTACAGGCGCGAGTAGGCCGCCACCGGCGCGCGGCACGTCGGGCACAGCGGCATCGCGCGCGTATGCCCCGTGTGCATCGCGAGCATCGCGTGCTGCTGCGAGGCGAGCGTGCTGCGGCACCCGTCGCACAGCGCGACACAGCGGCACGGCCAGCAGATGATCGTGCGCTCCTCGGCACAGCACACGACGCACAGGCGCAGCCGCTCGCGGTCGTAGTCGCCCGGCGCGTGCGCGCGCAAGGCGTCGCGGCGCTCCTGCAGCAGGTGCACAAGCGCCGCGCGCGTCTGCCGGTCGGACGCGTCGTCGCTGCGCCGCGCCAGCGCAGGGAGCCACGTGTCGATCCCCGACGCGGACGCCGAGGCGGTCGACGCCGGCGCCGGCGCGGCCGGTGCCGCGAGCCGCGCGTACGCGCGGCGCGTCAGGGGCGGCGCGGCATCGGCACGCAGCATGTGCTTCACAAGCATGTCCTGGAACGTCGCGGCGTCGGCGCCCTGGTCCTGCTGCGCGAGCGCAACGAGTTGGGTCGCGTCCAGGTCCGCTTCGTCCTCGTCCGAGGCGTCGTCCGAGTGCAGCGCGCGCTCGGCGCGGCGCGCGCGCAGCTCTTCCATGCGCGTGTGCGCCTTTTCGGCCTCGGCGCGCTGTGCGGCCTCGCGCGCGAGGCGTGCGTCGCGCTCTGCCTCGCCGTTGGTGCCGTGCCAAAAGAGGCGGACGTAGCGCGGGATATGGTGCACCCACGCGGGGGGCGAGGGGAGGTAGCGAGCGGTGTACGTGGCGCCCTCGCGCACGATCGTCCACACGATCTCGAGGAGCGTCTGGAAAAAGCGCGTGAGCGCGCGCATCTTGTCGGCGCCGCGGACGACGCCGCCCATTTCGACGCCCGAGTGCTCGAGGACGACGCGGAGGTCCTTGATCTCGTGCTCGAGCGGGTGGTAGGTGTGTGAGTCCATCTGCTCGAGGTCCTCGATGCTGTTCTCGATCACCGTGCTGCCGTCGGGGCGGAGCTCGACGTAGGTGCGGAGCGGTGTGTCGAGCGCCTGCAGCTCGCACGAGAAGCCCGTGAGTTTGGTCGCGTGCAGGCATGCGGTGCCGAGTTTGAGCACCGCGAGCGAGAAGTCGTCCGTGCTGTGCGGCAGGCTGCTCCGGTGGAAAAAGAGACGGTGCAGGTCCACGCGCCGGTCGACAAAGTACATCGTGAGCAGGTGCAGCGCGATCGTCAGGACAATCATGCCCAGGATGCTCACCTCCATCAACCGCCCGCCGCTGTGGATGATGGGGTACTCGTCCGACTGCACGGCCGTGTACACGTAGTGCACCGTCATCACCGCACTCAGCACCATGGTGAACACGAGGCGCGACACGAGCGGTGGGCGGCGGCACAGCAGCACATTCATGCCGAGCAGCTCGACGATCCGCGAAATCACAATCAGATACACGTGCGCGTTTGGCGCAAACTGGCGCGCGTGCGCGTGGATGTACAGGATGAAGCCGAAGCCGACCAAGTTGAACGTCGACGGGTCGTCCTGGGCGCTCCTGCGGTCAGTCGGCGGCAAAGACGTACGTCAGCTCGAGCGACCGCACGGCGGTGCTCACACACTGCGCGACACACGCGCTGAGCAGCGCGAGCCACAGCAGCGAGTCGGGCTGCAGCGTCTTGGTCGTGTGCGGCACCCACGGCCGCACGTACGCCAGCCACGCCTGGGCCGTCGGTGTGGTGGTATCGGCACACATCGCCTGCAGCAGGCGCACAAGCGCGTACGATAGCATCGCGATCGATGGCACGCGCAGCATGACACGCTCCGTCGGTGTGATGCGCGCGGGGCGGCCGTACGGTGTGCATACGTGCTGAATGCGGTTCGTGATAATCACCTGATGTCAGCATGGGCGGTGGCTTGGTGGGCGGCGTACCATCGCGACCATCGCGATCGCATAGCGCGACACGAAAAAGTGGATCGGACTATCCGACAGGATCGGCGCCGCTTCGGGCGCATAGGCGGGCGGGGGGGTATGCGGGGCAGGTGGGTGGGACATGATGCGAGCATCCACCCCACACTAGTGCATGGCCGGGCAGGACAAGCGCCGGGCGCACTACACAATGTGGAGGCGCCGCCACCGCCGACTACGTGGAGGCGCGTCCAGGCGCGCGCGCCGCCGCCTGTGCGGCACGCGCAGCACGGCTTGTGCGTCGTATCCGATACGGGCTATGGTACAATGGCGAGGCGCCGCTAGTTTTCGCGCCACTGGAATCCGCACTCTTGCTTGGTGCATTTGTAAAACGTCGTCACTGCTTGTTAGAACTGCGCCAACATACTTGGCTCGTCCGCCGACCGGATCTGTAGCTGCATAAAGTAGGCACGCCCATGGTCGCACTTGGGGCACGTTGCTGCACGGTAAGCTATGCCGCGCACGCGCAGCACACGTACCGTCCGTCGAGTCCACATTCTTCCAGCTGTCCTCGCCGCCCATCACGTCATCGACCTGCTTGCGCTCCAGGCGGATGCGCGACGTCACCTGCCGGTCCATGGGGAACTCAAATGGGCATGTCGGGCACGTCCATTTGTTCTCTCCCGTACTTGACGATGGCAGGACGGTCACCACATTCGCGCAGTTCGGGCAGAAGAGCATTACGGGGTGCGTCGCCAAAAAAAATTCGCACGCGCCGCACAGTACGAGCTCGGTGCGCTGGTGGCCCGTTATGTACGCACGCGACGAACTCTTCCGCACAAGCTACGCTCCTATAGCTCAGCTGGCAGAGCGCAAGACTGAAGGAAAAATTCGCCTTCGCAAGGATTCAACAGTCCTTCTTGAGGTCACCTGTTCGAACCAGGTTGGGAGCATTTCTTTTGCCGCGCGTCTAAATGTTTCCACGTGACTGTTCGAGGGCATGTATAAGCCCCAGATTCGCCCAATGGTAATATCGCGCTCCTATAGCTCAGCTGGCAGAGCGCAAGACTGAAGCGACGCAGTCGTTCTTGAGGTCACCTGTTCGAACCAGGTTGGGAGCACTTTTTTTTTTTTCTTCTCCGCGTGCACCGTGCGCCGAAGACGGTTGGGACGTACGAGAGGGTACGATGTGTATTTTGCTGTGGACGACGCAGCATCCCGACTACCGTCTGTAGGTCGCTGCACTCTGATGCCAGTATTTTGATTGACAACCGGGACGAGTTCCTTGCGCGGCCAGCGACGCCAGCACAATGGCACAATCTTGGGAACGAGGCCGTGGGCGACGCGATTCTGTGTGGGTGCGATACGCTCGCGGGCGGGACGTGGTTCGGTGTGACGCGCGCCGGGTCGTTTGCAGCACTGACCAACTTTACGGAGCCGGCGTCCGTACGAGCGGCGACGAACTCGACGCGCTCGCGTGGCGAACTCGTGTCACGCTTCCTGCACACGTATGCGACGCGTGCCCCGACCGAGGCCGACCTCGCGAGGTTTTTGGACGAGGCCGGCGATGAAAAGAGCGCCTTCAATGGCTTTAACCTAGTCATCGGCACGGCCGCGCGCGATGTGGCGCTACTGGGCTACCTGACGAACCGCGGCGAGGATCCATACAGCGGGACGGTGCTGGCGTCGGATACGCGTGCGGTGGTGCATGGCCTGAGCAACAGCACGCTCGCGACGCCGTGGCCCAAAATTGGCGATGCACAGGCGCTTGTGCGCGACGTGCTGCAGCGCGACACGTCGGTCGACGCGCTGGTCGACGGCCTGTTTGGCGTGCTCGACACGTCGCGTGGCCCCATTGGCGAGCCGGACGAGATGCGGTGCACGATCCGTGTCGAGCCCGTGCGCTTGCCGAGCAATGCCGACGGTACGCAGCTCGCGGCCCCGGGCAGCGCGGGTGCGATGCACCGCGGCTGGTACGGCACACGCACGGCGACCGTGCTGTTGGTCCCCCGCAGCACGGCGCACCCGGCGGTGCTGGTCGAGCGCGACGTGTATGCGCTGGACGGAGGGAGCGGCACGAGCGACACGCCGCCGACGCACCTCGACTTTAGCGACGCGCGTGTGCGTGCGGCACACGAGCGGCGATATACATGGACGTTGTAGACTACATACGATGGACGGTGAGGACGGCGACGCGGCCGTCGATGGTGATGTTGTGGTTGATGCCTAGGTGAGTGTGCGCTCGACGTACTTTGCCGTCCGCTCGGAAGGAGGTCGTGCCACTCGACTGAAGCGCGCCACGTCGTGCCGTGGAACGAGCTGCCGCGCAGCGCAGTCTCGACGAGCGCGTCGCGGCCGAGGTCGTAGCCGTTGGGCACGATGGTGTGGTGCTCGGCGACGGACTGTGTGAGCGGTTGCACGTACCTCTTCCTTGGACACGGCGAGGAACCACGCACCGGTGTCGGCCTCGGTGCCGTTCTGTTTCCACACACGGAAGTGGTTGCCGCCCGCGAGGCTTTCCCAGCACGAGCCGAGCCAGACGCCCGGCGAGCCGGGGTAGATCAGGCTGCGGTACTCGAACAGTTGCGGCTGCCACCCGTTGCCGTCGCCGAGGTTCGCGTATTGCAGACCGCCGAGGTGGATGTGCAGGCATTCGAACGAGAAGCCGATCGAGCGCACATAGTCCAGCAAGCCCTGCTCGCACAGCACGCGGGGGTCCGATTTGCCCGAGATGATGACGTTGATCGGCTCGCGGAACCCGTTGCCGACGACATCGAGCATGCTGCCCCCGCCATGCGCGGGCAATACCCATCCCTCGGCGTGTGCGGCACCGGTGCGTGTCGTGTTATCGAGCGAGATCGCGTCGTACACTGCGTCCGGGTCGTAGTGCGAAATCCGCGACGGGTTGTGCTGGGCGATGTGCTGAGCGGCGCCCGCCGGGACCTGCGGCACGGCGCCGTGCACGGCGCCCAAGCACGCTGCCCACATACATGCCAGCACGGCGAGCAGCGCAGCACGCACGCACACGGCCGTCGAGCCGCGTGCTCGCATCGTCGTGGTCCACAGATCACGTGTCGATTAGGGGTGGGGGGGACTACGAGAGGGGTAGCTTTGGCGGGCGCGGCGGCGGCGTTGCGGAGTGCGGGCGCGCCTGGGATGCGGGCGCGGGCGCCGCAAGCGTCGCGGCCGGTGCCGCATCGTCTTGTTGGGCGTAGTGGTGCTGCAAGCGGGACTTCTCCTCCATCGCACGGGCCTCCGACTTGGTGAGGTACGGTGAGGCCGTGTGGGGATCGGGCGCCTCGGTCGGGGGCGTGACAACGAGCGGGAATTGCAGCGTCGTGTGTGGGCTCGCCTGCGACCCAAACATGGTCGTGGGTGCCGCAAGGGCGCTGGTGTCCGGGCGCGTCGTGGTCCGGGTGCCGGAGCCAGCGACGTACGACGTCGGGCGCAGCGCAGACGGCGGCGGAGCAGGGATGTGCGCGTCGGGCACCTCGGTGGGGGGCGTGCCAGCAAGCCCTGCGGTGGGATTGTGGTATGCGTCGACCTCGCTGCGTGCGCGCTCGTACAGGGCGGCCTTTTCCTCGGCGGCCGTCGGGAAGGAACCGCCGGCGGCCGGCGGCGGAGGGGCCGGCGCCGCGGCCGGCGGAGGGGCCGTCGAGGCCGCAGCCGCCGCAGCGGCCGACGGCGCTGCATCTGCCCCGTTGGCCGTGTCGGCCGCCTCCCCTGCCGGGAAGGAAGCGCCGTGCTCGTACTCGCTCTGGTATCGTTCGGCCTCGGCACGTGCGCGCTCAAACAGGCGCACCTTTTCCGACTCGGCGGACTCGAACCCACGGCGCGGCAGCGCATTTGGCTGCATGCTCATGGGCCGGCGCGCCTCCATGGGTCCCGGTGCCGGTGACGCGACGGTGTCCAGCTGCGGCGAACGCGCGACGCGGACCGGCTCGGCGTACGTCGGCGAGGCGGCGCGCAGGCGGGTCGAGCGGTCGCTGCGCGGCGTCGCCGGGAACATGGCGACCGATGCCGGGCGGCTGAGCGTTGCGGGTGCATGCGTCACGCCGCCGTCGAAGGCGAGCACGTCGCCGGGGCGCAACGAGTTGCTCGGGAGCTGCATGAGCGTCGTCTGCGCCGCGACGGAGGTGGGTCGTCCGTTGGGTGTGTATGCGCCCGGCTCGTGCGGCGACTGGGTCGTGGGGGAGTAGCCCTGCTCCGCCTGGAAGACGAGCGGACCGCGCGGCGTGGGCGTGCCGAGGAACGACGCGTCCGACTGGAGGCGGGGGATGCTGCCGGCGTCGTCCATGAGCATCCGTTCGTACTCGTCGTAGCGCGCGCGCGGGCGTGTAGGCGACGGCTCTTCGGTTTCGGGCTCCATCTGCGATGCGTACGTGTCGGCCACGTCGTTGTCCGCCGATGGTTGTGCGCCATCGTCGAGGCACAGGTGCGGGACGTTGCCGATCCGTGCGACGGTCGCTGCGCTCACGCTCGAGGGGAATGCCGAGACCTGCATCTTGAGCCGCTCAAACACGATGCACTCCTTGCCGATCTCGACTGCGACGCGGAGCGAGTGCGCGATCTCGATGTGCTTGGCGGTGCTGACGGACATGAGGGTGCGCGACTTGGGCAGCGTCACCGACAGGTCGTACATCAAGAACTCGTCCTGATTGATCTTCTTGCGGATGCTCTTGTTCTTCTGCGCAATGATCTCGGAGCGCTGCTGGACGGTGCCCGGCGCGGCGTTCGACGCGACGTCGCCCTTGGCCTGCGGGAGGTAGGTGACGGTTTGGCGCACGCCGACGCTGATGCTCTTGAGTTTCGTCGGGGTGGGTGCCTTGCTGTACACAATCACACGCACGTCGACCGAGTCGAGCGCCGCGTACGACTGCTTGTTGCGGTAGAGACGCACGCGGTACAGCCCCGAGGTCTCTTCAAACTCTTCCGGCACGCTGGGTGAGGGCGGGCAGCGACGTACTTGTACAGCGGCCACGTCGAGTGGAGCTCGTGTTTCTCGAGCACGATGACATGCATATCGCTCACGGTGCGCTTGACCTGCGTGCGGCGGAGGAAGCCTCTGGTGGTGTGAGCGAGCCAAGGCCAACGTACTTCTTCACGCGGACGCACAGCGTCGCGATCAGCTCGTAGCGGATCCCGCCGTTCTTCTCGAGGCGCAGCGTCGCAGGCAGCTTTTCGGGGATCGGCACACGGAAAGGAAAGGAGCGCTGCGTAAGTCAGAAGGGCGGTGGGACGTACGCCAGGGAGCTGCGCCCATGCTTCGCCGTCGACGTGGGCGCCGCCCTGAGCGGCCCAGACGTCCATCGGGCCCTGCCCAATGAGCTCTGTCCAGGACTCGCCCGAGGGAAGCGTCTCCGTCTTGGCCATCTCGACCCGCAGCCAGGCGGCCTCGATCGGCTTCGCGCTCGCTTGGACCTCGATGGTGCCTGAGAGGTGTGCCGGCGGCCGCGTCTCAGACGGCGGAATGCCGGGGTAGCCCTGGAGGAACCCGCGGTTGGCCGGTGGCCGGAGTACGCTGTGGTCAGGGCATGGGCGACGTACATCCGCGGGGGCGACATGGTCGGACGCTATCACGGAGAACCGCGCATGCTCCGCGGCCCTTTTGGTGCGCACATTAACCTCGGCCCAATCACGGCGCGGCCCGGTGCCAAGCCTGCCTCCACTTTGCGCACGGCGGGAGAGAAGCGACACGTCTGCGACAGGGCGGGGGGAAGGGCCAAGGGCGGGGAAACGGTTCCGGGGGCAGGGGACCAATCATCTATCCATCTATCTAACCAGAGCACATCAGGCACGCCTCCTTGTTCTCGAGCGAGCACGCAAGGCGGTCGGCCTCCTCCTGCCGGCGGCGCTGCCGCTCGAGCGCGGCCTGGAAGCCGGCATCGTCGCCCTCGCGGCCCGGCCCGTCCTGGGTGACGGTGCCGTCCACGCCGAGACGGCCGACGCCCTG